CAGATATACTTTTATCTATCTATTTATCGGGTAGATATGTATGTCGAGACTGATAGATGTTTTTATTTCTGTGTATATGCAAGTCCGTATAATGAATGTGTATTGAGTCGGGCTTGCACAATTTTAACAATTTTATCTTAATATTACGAATATTTGATCTACATGTGTGGTCCTTCTTGTCTATGCATTGTAAAAGCTATTCAGAACATAATATTTATTCCTATTAACATAACATAATATCTAATCCTGTTAACGAGTTCATGTTGTTAGCGGGATTATACGAAAAGTTACTGACGGATTGTGATGAAGCTAGTTAGCAGATTATATTTTTGGCGATGTAGGCCAACTCAACAACAGTGCGATTCGCCAATAAAAATGGATCTGCTAGAACTCTTTCTTTATACTTGCGGTCCCTTAGCATCCTATGCAGAACTCTTTATACTTGTGGTCCCTTAGCTTCCTATTCGTTTCTTATCAAGACTGGATTTAGACGAGTTATCAGGTTAATAATGTAGGAGAAAAAGGACCGTGTTAAGTGCCTGTCATTATTAAACTAGGTAGTGCAGGGGTCTTATGGGGTCTTAAGCACAGAAGGAGAACCGTCCTATAGTTTATCTTTATCAAAATTAACCCTATGAAGTTTCACGAGACCGAGAGAGAGTTAGTGCAAAGGGTTTCTTACGGAAAAATGTCTTTTAAGAGTGTCTCTTTATTAAAGTAACCCCTACAAAGTTACACGAGACCAAGAGAGAGTTAGTGTAAAGGGGGTCTTAAGCACAGAAGAACCGTCTTAAAGAGTTTGTTTTTATCAAAATAACCCCTATGAAGTTTCACGAGTCCAAGAGTTAGTATAAACGGAAAAATGTCTTAAGAGTTTCTCTTTATTAAACTAACCTTTACGAAGTTACACGAGACCAAGAGAGAGTTAGTGTAAAGGGGGTCTTAAGCACAGGAGAAGAACCGTCTTAAAGAGTTTGTCTTTATCAAAATAACCCCTATGAAGTTTCACGAGACCAAGAGAGAGTTAGTGTAAAGGGGGTCTTACGGAGAAAAGACATCTTAACGAGTTTCTCTATATTAATCTAACCCCTACGAAGTTACACGAGACCAAGAGAGAGAGTTAGTGTAAAAGGGGTCTTAAGCACAGGAGAAACCGTCTGA